TCTGCATGTAATATACCAGCCTTTAGGGCACATTCACACCATGCCCGGACCAGATCAAGACCAGAAAATGTTTTTGTCTGGTCCAAAAACACATACCTTTTTAATTATGGTAAAAAGTGAGGCTAGTTCACATCACTTCGTTCAGTTCCAGAGCGTTTAAAAAAAACAAAAAACAATACTGTTTGCACTATTTTCTCTGGTCTGGAACGCATCAAAAAACATGTAAAGACACTGAAACCAATGCAAACCAATCACTAGAAAGTCAAGTGAGACACAAACACATCAAAAACATGTAAAAAATGCATAAAAAACACACATGACCGCAAATGCAGAAACACCTCCGGGTCTGGTCTGGCGATGGTGTGAATAAGCCCGTATGCAGTTTTAGCCACATTTACATTTGTATAGCATCATTTAGAGTTTATCAGACCCTGAAGATGCAGAATTCTATTTTATTTTGCAGCTCAAACTGAACACTCCTAAATTCAAGCAAACACCCAGTTTGATATCATCACAAATCATCATAGGTATATGTGTTTTGAAATACCCTCTAAATGTTTATCAATGCATATTTTTCAATGCCAACATGAAAGGTAAGGAAACTTTAGAATGTTCCCTACCCATTTTGCAATGTCCCCAAGGAGCTGGGCCAAACATTGTTGGCTGAATAGTGATTGCAGCCAATCACTGTTTGTGTATTCTGGACAGTGGTGGGTGCCGGCTGTCAGGATACAATAGTCCAGCGGGGGAGATTTCCCCCCATCCACACATTTAATTTTTTTGAATGCAGTGTTTGGAAGAAAAAGTAATACTTCTCAAAGTTCTGAGCCTGTCTAGTGGTTAATAAAACCTTTCTCTGTCAATGTTTTGCTTCACTCTGAAGTGTCAACAATCTGGCTATCATGTATGATACAGTTCCATCCAACGGTGGCCTCTTCATCCATCCACCCACGACAGGAAATATGCTCACCTGCTGACAGCTTTGGCACGATTTCAAGGATATCAGTGGTTTTTATCCTAACTAAAATGTTTGTTTTAAATAGATTGGCTGTGAATACCATTTACAGATTGTGTATAAAATAGTCCCCCGAGGTGTACAGATCTATAGTTGTTTGGTAATACATTTGTATGTTCTGTGAAGCATAGCTCCTTGATCCATATAATGAGCTGATACATCTTACAGATTGCTTATTTGTCACTTCCTGCAGTGTCCTTTAATGGCATTTCAGGAAGAGAAGGCCCTACAAATTGTTTTTTTTTGTTTAAACTCGCGGTTGTTGGACAATCCTTTGTAACTGTCAGTCATAGTATAGTTTAATCAAAGTTTATTCGCCAGTCGCCAAGTCCTGCAAGTAATTTATTTTAAGGTGCCCATACACCTGCTGAATATCGTACAATATTCGCGGTAAATCATGTGATCGTACGATAATCGGCAGTTGTACGGTCACACGTCTCTTGTCTTACAAGCAGGCTCGAAAACCCGCCGAGAATCGTACGATTGTCGGCAGGTTTGTGGCGTGCTCGTAAGACAAATGCCGCATGTGCCGGTGTGCGCAAGCGCACACTGCCCGTTAAGCATTGCAGTCACCAGAAGCCCGCCCCTCCGCGGGGCTTGCGATGATCGCAAGTACGATCTGCCTGTCCAAGATGGGCAGATCGTACGTTTTTTAAAATTATCTTACAACCATCACAAGACAAAAGTCTTGCGGTGGTTGTAAGGTGTATGGCCACCTTTACCAACATATAAATTGTAAAGAAAAGTGGTCTGCACATTTAACACACCTGACCAGAGTTCTATGCAACAGACCAAAAGGAGTGACAGCTGATGACTAAAGATGGACAGAGGAATTTGGTTCCAAATGAGGGACAGTTGGGAGATATAGATCGAACAATGCTGGACCCTTTAGGCTAGATTCACACCTAGGCGACACCTCACTGCGTGGCAATCATGCACAATTCCGCACAGATTGCTGCCAATGTGTGAACCAATTGCGCTGTGGATGTCATTATTTTCTAATGACACCCCAGTCACGTCGGGCGGATCGTGCGGTTTTCCCGCCGCTATTCCGCCCGTGTTTCCGAACACGATCTGGCATTCTAAAATAGCTGTGCGTCGTGTATCGCAAAAAAGATACTTGTACCTTCTTTCTGCGATTGCCGCGCTGATGTCACCCCGTTTAAATCAATGGGGTCACTGCCTGCTTTGTACAGGACCGCGCAATCCCGGGATGCACGTCCTGGGTGTTGTGCGGTGTAGTGCAGGTGTGAACCTAGCCTTATAGTTTGTCAACCCATATCGAAAGTCCCAATAACCTGTGTAGTGTACCAAACTAGGGGCATTGTGGACAACTTTGGTTTGAGCATTGGCAAGGCTAAAGATTAGTCCTGTCTACTGCATAGTAAAATGCCTGCGGGGAAATTTCCGGTTTTTAGATACCCCTACATTAAAATGTTTCTGAGGGCCAGAACGGCTTTCTTTGCTTTTATTTCTAGTTTTTCGGACACTTTTTTATTTTAGGTTATATGTTTTGGCAAATCTAATTAACTTCTATTCTGTGTATACAATGTTGTAATTCCGGTTCAGTGCCCTTTTAATATTTAATTTAATATTTCCTGCAGTCTATTGTCTGCTAGAGTAAACTGATAATTACTTGCTCACTAAAGTCACACCATTGCAGAAAGGTGAATAGAAAGGAGAATTTCACATTTCATCCATGAATTCCCTAACCTGCTATGTGTGATTTGGTAATTGAGCAATTATTGCTCGGTTTGAACTCACGTTTTTTGCGTCTGTGGGGTTTACATCTGTTAGGATGTTAACATGTTTCCGAAGCAATGCTCCTGTGCAGCATTGTACGTGTCTGGTGGAGGCTTGTGGTGTGAAAGCTTATGCAACATCAGTCTCCCATCTTTTGTTAGGAGATGTGTTTATTTAAATCATTGGTGAGCTACATTTACGGGGTTTCCATGTGTCCTTAAATTTCTTTAAGGCTTAGTTCACACCAGATGCAGTTGTGATGCAGTCAATTCAGTTTGGCAGCTGCATCCAAATTGCGCCACAAGGCTTTCCTATGGGATTTCTGGTGCTCTGTTCACATCAGTGCAGACTGTCTGATAAGCATTGTGAGGCAGAGCAATAAAGATTTATAAATGCAAATATGTCAAGCATTCCACTGACCACCTCTTAGTGTTGTATGACCACTGCATGTGTCATAATTAACACAGGTTTAGTGCAATGCTCTTGTAGCTTGCTGTCTATGAGTGCAAATACAATTTGATAAATGTACCTGATTTTGTTAACTTTTTCATTAAAGACGAACTCTACCCATATCTTCAAAATAACAACAAAGGCACTTTTATAAATGTTTAGTAATGACAATCTACAAACACATACTTCTAGATATTTGCTGTCTTTTTTTGCATACCCTTTTTTTTTATTTTCTTTCCCAGTGTTCTCACAGTGGCCATTTTAACTAAGAACAGGTTACTAGATCTCCCTTTACTTTCTGGCACTCTGGCACATGTGACTAGGACATGTGACCATGCACATCATCTCAGGGGAGGAAAATTCCTTTCCCTGAGATCTCGTGATATTACAGATGAGATTTCCCATCAATGCTCTGACAATGTAACCTTTCCAGGATGCAACGCTTGGGCGCGATTACATCATTTGTGCCAGAGTGGACCAGGAAGTAGAAAAAAATGTAAGTAAAATAAAAATGTTTGTTTAGCTAATGAATGTCAGATGATTTCATATCAGCAGAGCTGTATGCTGATATGATTTTTAGTCAAAGAGGGTAAAGCTCCACTTTAAGGCCTCATTTCACACAGGGCACGCTGCTCCATTCAGCATGAAGGGCCAGTTGTCGATGCGTCCAGAGCTCTGTGACAAAGTGTTCAGGCAGCTAATTCAACTCTATGCAGACTCCGGAGCTGTGCTCCCTCACCCTGCTTTCTGCAACTCCGGGCGCATCAACAACCAGCTTTTCATGCCGTAACACACCCCATGTGAATGAGGCCTAAATCTCCCATCAGATGCTTTTTTATGATTTTGTATAAAACCTTTTATGTTATAAACTTTTGTTACAGAATAATTTTGCTGTTGCTGACCTTTATTTTTTTTTTTTCTTTTTATTTGACCACCTAGAGGGGGGAATCAAGATAATAGCTGACCTCATTAAACAGCTCTGGTTATAGTACTTTCAGAGTCACTGAATCAAAAAAAACATGCATCATAGTGATGATAGAACTCCTGATCTGCATTCTTCTTCTGGGTCAGTGAAGCTGAAAGTGTTGAAGCCATGGAATCAGAATGACAGGCAGCCAGTCAGTTAGCATTTTCCAAAGGGAGGTAGATCAGCAATGACAGCCTGCATATTATGTGTATTATGTGATATATATATATATAGATAGATATATCTTATCTATCTATCTATCTATCTATCTATCTATCTATCTATCTATCTATCTATATATATTGTAAAATACAGGCTCTTGGCTGGTTCAAGGTAGCTGAGTATTCACAAGCTATACTGGCCCTCACTTGCAAAAATGTCAGGGCAGCCCTAAGACACTCTAGCAGTTGTTGGGCAGCTTTTCCCTACAAACTGCAGCTCTCGGTAGGGGGCATGCATCTCTGGTCTTCACCAGCTCATTGTTCAGTGAAAAACTCTTGAAGGAACAGTCTGGAATCTGTATTTTAATCCAATGAGAGGAATTTATCAAAACTGGAGCAGACAGAATCTGCAGCAGCTGTGCATGACAACCAATCAGCTTTTCAAATCTTATCTGAGCAAACTGAAGAGAGAAGCTGATTGGTTGCCATGCACAGCTGCTCCAGATTCTGCCTGCTCCAGATTTGATAAATTCCCCTCAATGTGTTTAGTGTCCACCTACAGTAATATTTTCTCCTAATTTGACTGAGCTTTGGGAGCTCTAATTTGGTACAAGTTCTTACTGTTTTGTGAGTGTAATAAAGCAGAACGGCTTTCATTCTGTAGAAACCAGAAGAAGATGACTTGGTCCTCACACCCGATGGCACCAGAGAGTTCTTAACCTTTGAAATTCCTCTAAATGATTCTGGATCTGCCGGACTCGGCGTCAGTGTTAAAGGAAATCGGTCAAAAGAGAATCACGCCGACCTTGGCATCTTTGTGAAGTCCATTATCAATGGTGGAGCTGCGTCTAAAGTAAGTAAATATTTACTAGTTTTAACCTCAAGATGTCTGCAGACTGTGGCATTGATGAGGGACTGTACAGAAATAATCCTAATCTCAAACTTGCTTTCTGGGAACCTGTATGCCTGCAGCAGAGATTGACCCTAGATTATAAAATGATATTAAAACTATAAGAGGGAAGTTACCATAATTTTACTGTTCTTTTGATTTATATGTGAACGTGGTCCGTTTAACAGTAATAATTTTATCAGTGAGTGTTACTTGTTTCTATGTATAGTTTAAAATTATATTTGTGCATGGGGGCAGCCATTTTTTGTGCAAGCATTACATCCTGCTTAGTAGTGCCAATGCCTTTCTGTCAGTATACGTCTATTGCTCAGGTTTGACCTAGCTGAAAACATTGTTCTCTGTAGGGTAACTGAACTTATTTCCACAATGCAAGATTCCCGTTTACATTCTCTTGTATACAGATACAGGGATCTCAACCTGAAACAAGTCATTTCAGGGAGGTGCCCTCTGTCAACTCCAACTGCTGTAGTTTCTAGTATTCTGACAGCTGCTGCCATCAGAATATATATATATATATATAT